GGAGCATGAATTTGTCCAGAGGGAGTTTCTCATCTACTTGGTTTGCTTGTCTTTGCCAGCAGTAGTGAGTGGCTGGGGCTTTCTGGATACCTGCCCAAGTTCCTCGGGGCTCGAGAGATGCTAATAGGACCACCTTGGGGAAGGTGTAGGCGAGACTGTGCAGAGAAGACTCCTGCTTGTCTTTCTTATTTTCTGCCACTTCCAAATTACTGACAGCTGATGCTCAGCAATCCAAAGCCTAGTGAAAACTTCATTGTCAAGACTTCAGTGTCAGTCCTGTGTTGTGCATCTTTGGCCCTCTGGTCCTAAGCAACATCTCCTGCATTTCCTCCTAGTACTAGGTGAATGACCCAAGCCACAGTCTAGGGTAATACCCCCCGCATACAGGCAGGCTAGGGAACCAGGTTTCTCCAAGATTTTCCATGCTTTCTGGAGGCAGCAAGGGCAGCTCTCAGAGCCAAACAAGATAATACTGCTTCTCATTATTACCCTGAGTGTCTTCACCTGCACTCAACTGACTGCCCTGCCCACTGGGTCTCTTCCTTCTCCACTACCTTCATTTCTGACATTCACTCTGCCTGAATTGCCTCTCTCTAGAGATCTTTACCTGTAGAAATCTTACCCATCTCTCAAGGTCCAATTCATATTCCGACTCCTATATGCAGCCTTCTTGAACTGTCCTAGCCAGAAACTGTTTCTCCCACTTCTGTGTTCCCTGTGTACCCGTAACACTTGCCTTATGGTCTTGTGGCACTTACTCTATCTTTTTTTTTCCTCAACTAGACTATAAGTTCCTTGAATGCAGAAATATTTTATATGTATTTGTGTTTTTTAACTCCTAATACTTTTTATATGCTAGATAACTTCTAAGTATTTACCAAATGAAAAATAGAGATTCCTGATTTAAATGCCCCTACTGTAATTGGCTGAGTATCTGTCAAGAGAGCCCCGTCTACTTCTAGAAAAAAATCATGGAGTGAATACTTCACTCCTTGAAATTCACCAAAATGGAAACAAAAAAAGGAAGCTCCGTATATAAAAAAATTAAATAACTGTCTCATACCCATATACAGACTAAAGAATATCTGCCAAACAGTGAAATTTAGATCAGATCCAAACAGAACACAAGGATTCAACCAGCATTAAGAATAGGGGCATGAGTGAACCAAAGCAGAGCCTCCTAACCTTAGCCCAAGGGGTCCTCGTCCTTTGGGGGTCAAACGACCCTTTCACAGGGGTCGCCTAAGACCATCGGAAAACAAAAATATTTACATTATGATTCATATCAGTAGCAAAATTACAGTTATAGAGTAGCAACGAAAATAATTTTATGGTTGGGGGTCACCACAACATGAGGAACTGTATTAAGGGGTCGCGGCATTAGGAAGGTTGAGAACCTCTGATCTAGAGTGACACCTGGACGAGGACCCCTTGGGCTAAGGTTAGGAGGCTCTGGCACCTGGGCAGATATGGATGAATCAGCCATAATCTTTGCAATGAAGTAGTGAGTTTGCCTAAAGCAGACCTTTAGTCACATGCCTAGAAAGGCTACATGAATCTCCAGGTCCATATTCTTTTCTCCCCCAAGGTTCTGAATGAGTTTAGAAAGCCTGCCAAACTAATCCCCAGAGAAGAACCTGCCCGTCCTCAGAGTTACTAAGAAGTTTCATGGCTCTTTGCCAAAAACTGCCCAGTCAACAGCTGAGGCAGAAGCCTACGACACAGAGGAGAGTCACCACTGTGTAAGCTTTGGACACATTGTTTATCCCCTGAGAGCCTCGATTGTCTCTGTAAAAATTAGAGTAAATACTACCATCCTTACAGGCTCTCTAAAAGGATTAAGTTACATAATGAACGTAAAGTGTTTTGTGTAATGACTGAGATGTATAAGGCATTAGATTCGTGTGAGTTCCCTCTCTTTCTGGAATAAACTGAAGAAAGTCCTAACTGAAGGCAGAAGAGGAACGAGAATTTGGAGGCGTTATTGCTTCCCAGGTCAGGGCTTCCTCCTCATGTCATATGCCACAACGTGGTGTGGTGTGATGTGCCTGGCCAAGCACTGGTCTTGTTGTAGACCTCTGTGTTTTCTCATGGACTTCTCTCCACTGAAGGATTAAGGTTTCCAGGGTAACTTCCCAAGACCTGCAACTTTGCCTAAAATGTAACCCCACCAAGGAGAAATGAGGACCAAAACCCCATTATTTTTAGCCATCTTCGAACAGCTTCTTAGAGAACACAGCCAAGCATTAGCACAGCAGAATCCTTAGTACCTAGCTGAGAGTTAAAACTAGAAAGTAAAAACTATAGTTCTGGCACTGGAGCCAGTTCTTTTCTTGAGTTATAGAAATTCACCTCCCCTCCCGCTTTAAGCACTGAGCAAAAAAGGCAAACCTGGAGAGGCTTGTTGATATATTGGGTTGTTGGAAAAGTCATGACATATTTTTTTCTATGTTTTTCGTTGCAAAAATGCATCATGACTTTTCCAACAACCCAGTAGTAGTATCTGTCCTTCCCTAGTATGAGCAAATACACATACTTCCAGTGAAATCCTTAATGTTGGAGTTTCTTTCTGGACAGAGGGAAAGCTATGTTGACTTGAAATTTTTCCAAAGGACCTCAGCTTGCTAATGGAGGTGACTTGTAACTGCAGCAGTGATAAAGGGGAAGTGAAGAAACAAGCAGCAGAAAAGAACTTCACATTCACTAAGCGTTTTGTGAGGTGTTCGTCTCAAAGCCTCCCACAGATCCACTGACCAAGAGCCTCGGGAGAGCAGCCAGCTTCCCATCAATCAACCCACTTTTTTCCTTATCATATCTTCAGACTCTGCAGTGGTGGTTTATGCATCTCAAAGGATGTTACACACCAACTAGATAAGACAAGCAATATGGGAGGTTCTGAAGACCTCAATCAGACCTGCTAAACATAAGGAGAAACCACGCTATCCATTGCTGTAGAAATCTGGCCTCATTCCAGCCGCCTCCTTCCAGAAATGCAGAAATGGTTCCCACTTATATCCCAGATTCCAAAATAGCCAGTTAGTTGTCTCTAATTATGGCTGCTTGAGTTTCTGTTGACTCTTTTTTTGTCTGCTGTGTTTACCCCTTGCCTACCTCCAGCACCTGCATTCTCAGGCTCTTAAAACCTTGAACAGGATATATCCCCTTATTCCTCCCTTGGAAAAAGAAATGAGACTTTTCAGTGACAACCTAATAGCCAATTGTAAGCCTGCTCTGTCCCAGGAGCCTATGTATCTGAGGCTTTCCATACTTCCTTACGATTCTTTTTGGGAGAATTTTCCCCAAGGGGCAGGAACCACTCTAACTGCTGACTGCATTGCTTTGCCTAAGGCAGAGGGCAAGTTACAATGTTCTGGAAGTTCCCTTAATACCCACCCACTGAGTGTATCCTGAGTTTGAGCCAAAAAACAAACACTGCTCATCTCCACACCACCGAGGTGCTATGGTTTTGTCCTTTTGCTGCTTTGTGACAGACTTTAACTTTCTGGAAGAACAGAGATAGAGAAGGCTCTGGAATGCCATAAAGTGCGAGATTTCTTTATTATTTTTTATTATTTTTTTTGCATTTTACTAAAGTTTTGGCATTTGGAAGAATCTTTTTTTTAATGGCCAGGGCATCGATAGTTTCAGTCCTTGAAATGTCTTCTTCTCCATCCCCTATGCCTCCTGGGTTGCTTGAGGATTTTTCCTTAGTTGGTGTTTTGTTTTATTTTGTTTTGTTTAAATGGCTGCTGACACCCTCCCAACCCACTCACCTCCTTCTCCCTTTCCGCTTCCCCTGACTCTAATTTAGAGCGCTGACTATTTCCTCATTAGGACAGAGCTCCTTCCACAGGCCATCTCAGCTGAGAAAAGCAATCGGGCAGTTCCAGGCTTCCTCCAGTCTTTTCTCCCCTTAATTTCTTTGTGTGGCATTATGGTAAAATGTATGGATTCCGGAGTTAGGCAGACCAAGATTTGAATCTGCTATTTGGCAGTTATGTGGTTTGGGGTAAATGGTTTAACTTCTCTAAATTTGTTACCTCGTTATTTTTACTGCATCAGAGGTAAAAAATGATACTCCCACAATCATCTAGGAAGCTTCTTTTTCTAATTTAAATATATAAGGACCCCCATCCCAGACTTACCAAAAAGATTAATGGGGGCCAGGACATTGCGGGTATTTTTGTTTGTTGTTTTTCACACTGCCCAGGTGATTTTTCTGATGAAATAGCTAGATTTGTAAGTCACTCCCATAATGTATATAGAGTATTTAGCACACTCCTGGCATAGGGTAGGTATGCAATAAATGCTACAATAAATGCTAGTGAAGATTTTCAGATGACCTTTTCTCCCACCCACCAGCCTTCAGGAGCTAGAAAGATGCTCTTTAAACACATTTAAATGCTAAGAACCAGCACCGATACTATTAAGAATGAGGCTTTAGGGTCTGGAGTAGTCTTTTATGTGGCGTGGAGCTAGTTTAAAAAGCATCCTTTTTTTTCCTAAATGAATATGGTTTTGATTAGCCAGAGTCTATAGTGAGAGCTGTGGAACACCCATTATTTCCATAGCTGATCTCCTAGGAAGATTCATGAGATCTGAGCCTCAAATGAAATTTGGTAAATAGTCCCAGATGAGAGGCAGGAGGGATGGGTCAGCCGAGGGACCAGCGCCAGCTTCCACCCCCAGACCAAAGGAGGAGAGATTGAATGGAATTTAGGTCTGCAGTGCTTAAAAACTGAAACGAAAGCATCTGCCCTTTTCAGGCTTTGGAGGAAGATCATTGTGACCATATCTGAACTCTGGACTTCTCTTAAGCCAGGTCCTCCAGTGGCCCAGCTGAGCCATTCTGTCTTCTAGTGACAACTTCAGGCATGTAGCTGTTAACTGGACTGACCAGCTCTTTCTAGCCAATGGAGGAGCCAGAATCCCTAGCCCATAGTGGAGAGGATGGTGATGAGAGCTGTGGGCACTCCCTAACTTAAGCTACTGTGTTACAGAAGCAACATCCAGGGCAGCGTCATCTGCAACAATGCTGTGATCGAGAATGGAGCAGACATCAAGGACTGCCTCGTTGGAAATGGCCAGAGGATTGAAGCCAAAGGTAAAACAAAACCCAAATTCCAATCACACATGCCATTTTTTTACCTATAGCACTAGCACAGATCATGCTGAGTGCTGGTGAAGACTGGGAAACAAGCACCTGCATACACTGCGCGTGAGACCTAAACTGATAAAGCCATCCTTGCAGGGGGATTGACATCACTGACAAATTTTTAAAGTTAACAGTTCCATTTTTAGGAATTTATCTTACAGGTAAGCTCATAGATGTATACGGCCTTACTATCAAAAAATTTAAAAGATAAAAAGATCTAATGGCCCTGATTGGCACCAATACTTTACAAGGACTCTTGGACATGAGAGAGAAGGGCCAGTAACCCAACTAAGGCTTTGCAACTAGCTCTGGCCTCCTGCAGTCCTTGGGCACCTCCCCTGACCTGATGTTTAAGGGAGGTGGTCCCAGCGAGTCCTGGCCTGGGAGAAAGTTAGTGGCTTCTTCAGCAGCCATTCACTCAGAGCCATTCTCGACCGCCTAGAGGTGAGACTATGAGCTGTGCTGTTAGCTCGCTCTGCTCTGCAGCTGTAGAAAGACTTATATAGTGCTTGAGAGACATACAAATACCAGGGTTTCCCTGTTAGGCTGGGCAAATTTGAATGGTCCATAATTTGGTTGGATGGTTTTAGCCAAAAACTAGATAAAGCTCAAGATTAATAGGAATGCTTAATTCCTTTTAAGTTTATTCCTAAACCTAAAATAGGGTAAGGTAGGGGAGTTGCTGACGGAATGAGCCCCACCAATTCTGAATTTGTAGAAGCCATGTCATTTTCCTTCTCCCCAATAACCAACGGCCTTCTTCAGTGTTTTCCTCCTGCCCCTTTTTTATTTTATTTCTTTTAGCTGAGCCATTCTGCCACCTGTTGGCAGCTCAGCAGCAACTCAGCTCGGGCTGGACTCGAACCGCTGTTGCTCAGAGCTCAGACTCTTGAGCCAGCTCTTAACCAACTGAGCCACTCGGCCGGCCTCTCCTGCCCCTTTTTTAAGTCACAAAGCTACCTCCCTTTTGAGCTTTAGACTCAAAGAGACCTGGGTTCAGATCTCAGCTGTGCAACTTAACTGGATGTACACCAGGTTCAATTTTTAATCTGTAGGCCTCAGATTTTAAAAACTGGAAAAACTGAGACAATAGTACCTACCTTGGAGGATTGTCATGAGCATTAAATACAATTAAATGTTGTGAGGAGCACACACATACCAAGGGACTCAGCACTCCACTTATACACCACGCCGTTGTGCCTCCCCCGCCTTTGCGCATGCCCCCTCTCTCTCAGGAATTCCTTTCCTGAAGACCCTGCCCAGATGTCTTCTCCTCTGTAGACCTTTCCCTGACTCTTCCCATGACTCCCTACAGCCAAACTGAGCATTCCTCCCTCCTTGGCACCCCCGAACTTTGTCAACACCTTTATTAAAGTCCGTTCACAAGTTATGGCAGTTATCTGTAAATTCTACCGTCTATACTAGACTGAGATCTCAAGGGCAAGGACTGACTTATGCCCATATGTATCCCAGCTCTCAGAGCAAGTCCTGGTTTATAGTAGATGCTGGGGAGGGGGTGGGGGTAGGAGATGAGTGAATGAATTTGGATCTTTAAAGCGTCTTTTTAGGGATTTCATGGCAGAAAGTTAGGGTTCCAAGAAAGGCCTGTGAGATGGTTGCGATTATCATGAGATCTCTCCATGCTTTTTTTCTAAACTTATGCTAATAAAAGAGCCACATTGCAACACCAATAACTGAACTGGGAGATGTGGCCTTGGCCTGAAATTATTCTTCCCCCTCATTTCTCCACTTGAGTCTGAATGCACCTTTCCTCCTCACTGCCTGTCTTCTCACATTTCAAGCACTTTCTTCCTCTGCGTGTGAGAATTGTCATTTCTGAGAGGCCTGGCAGCAGCGCCCTAACTCCTGGTACTTTCTGCTCTGATCACACGCAGACAGAGTATGAGCCAAAGTGAGAGGACTGGGACACCAGCTGAAACTCCAGCACAGGAGGCATGGATGGCACGGCCCTCCCGGAATGCTGTTAGCTTACAGCTGTTGTTTACAGCTTTAAAATGTTCTCACAGACACTTATCTTACTGGGTTTTCATAAAAGCCCTCTGACCTAGGGATTCATTATTAACCCATTTGGTGAAGTAGAAACTGAGACTTGGAAAAGTTGTAATTTACTCAAGGTACAATGCTAGTAGATGACAAAACTGGGTCTTCAGCCAGAATTATTGCCAAACAGCCATTAAAAAGACCAAGGGAAGAAGCCACTCTGGGTTGCCCAGCAGAATTTGATCGATGATACCCCTTTTGTCCCTTCAGTTCATCTTTCCCAGACTAATAGGAATAGATATTTGGCCTCTGTATCCCAGCCCTTTCTGATCCTCCGGAACCTCAGGTCTGAGCGCTTTCCTCCTGCTCAACATACCAGCTCACCCAGGCCTACCCTTGGGTTGCAGAGAAACTTATTTCTTGAGCAGCTAGGGCTGGTTGGTATTTTCTTAAAAATAGGATTCAGATCCCCCAGCCTTTTCTCTGACTCCATGGAAGACCTTGGAAAGGTTCCCCAGTTTCAAAAGCAGCTGTTCAGCTGGTCTGTGGAGCTGCTTTCTTACCCTGTCCCCTCCCCTGCCTGGTCATTGTATTCCTCTGTCCTTTGTTCTCTTCTGTTTGGGTTTGTGGCCCCACACAATGTTTCTTCCACCTCCTTCCTGCCGCTTTGTCTCTGTAAATTATCTTCTGCTCAACAAAACCTAAAAACATCCCCCAGTGCTTGCTTCTCTCAGTCCATCCTGGAACCAGGAACTGCTTCCTTTGGTTGTTTTTGAAAGAGTTTAGACCTGTAGGCATATATGAATGCGTGAATTCAATTTGCCAGCACCCTAGAGGTCCCTCATTTCTTGTGTGCTGGAACCTGGAACTTCATGGTTTCTGCTGCTGCTTCTCCCCATTTCCAACACAGTAATGGCACTCCTTCCTTTTACTTTGCAAGGGCGCCTTTTCATTCTATGTGCAGAATGAATGAATGCCAACTGCATGCCAGATAATGAGGGTCTGAGGCATGGCACCTCCCATCAGGGAGCACAGGGCTGGACTAGCCAAACCCCTAGGATGTCATGGGCTTCATTATCTCCTGGGTTTTCTGGCTCTAACTAACACTATGTGCTCACTTTTTAGCAAGGAGAACCCCAACACTTTCTGCTCTGTCCTCTATGCTGAGGGACCAGTGCATCCAACACAGTAGTGAGTGCCTTCCTGCCACAGGTACATCTTCCCAGTCACCTGTTCCCACTCACTTTTCTTTGAGGCTGAGCCATATGGAGCAAGCAAATTCCTAGCCATTGGTGCAGCAGTCAAGGCCTGTTACTATGGAGGATCCAAGCAAACATCAACACCTCAGGTCCTCATCAGCAAAGAGCTCAGCAGATGGCAAAATCCCCAATCTTATTGACATGGAGGCATTTCAGGGGAAAACATTCCTCCTCAGAAGTAATGCTATCCCCTCTCCAAATTCAAGCCATTTGCATACTGCAGCCTTTTACCCATAGCAGTCTTTTACCCCAAAAATGTGACTCTTATAATCCAGTGTGGGCCTCTCCGCCCTCTTCTAGCACTACCAGGAGAACAAGCCATTTTCTAACAATTCTGGCTTTTCTCGCAGCACCCCAGCATGCTCAGTTAATGAGATTATCTCTGGCAAAAATCCCAGTAGCCAAGTTTGACCTCCTGCTCAAGCTAACAGAAGAGCCGTAGCCAACAGATTCAAAACCTAGGAAACTCTAATTGGACACTTCCTGTGGGTCGCTTATCGCCGTCAGTGAGAGAACTTGGATCTCTTCCCTGTGACCACAGTGATCAGTCCTTTGGCCATGAAAGTAGACCTGATGGCTGCACAGGTCAAGTCCTGGCTAGCAGGACTCCTTCCCAGCTTCCCATCAGTGCAGCTTCTCATATGTGACTTGTCGTTCCCTTCTGTCCCACTGGTTTTTTCCCAACTTACCATCCTCCCTTGTACTCTTCCCTTTAAGATCTTTCCCAGCCTGACTCCAGCCCAGAGCTTTTCCAGCGTGTTTATTGGAACCGGCTTCCAACCCTGGCCAAGCAGAACTAGTACTGCTTGCTGTTCTTCTCTTGGTTTCCACCACCTTACTGAATTTCCATGAAAATACATCTACCCCTGAAAATGCCACATATAGTCTCTCTCCCCTTACTTCCAGTGAGTCTTCCCCCACCCCTAGGCCAAAAGCAGATCAAAAGGCAGGGAGGAGAGTAGGGAGGGCAGGCCAGAGAAGGCTCACGGGTTTACTTGGAGCCTGGCAGAGCAGAAGAAAGCATTGTCTGCCCCAGCCAGGCACCTCATTAGCCCCTCTGGTCTGGAGCACTGAGGGCCAAGAAGAACGTTAGTTGGAACTAGGACTGTCTTCAGCCCAGGGACCCTGGAGACTAGGAAGAAACTGGATGAAGGAAGAGCAAATGTCAGAGTCTAGATAAGAGATGTTGAGGCTGACTCAAGGCTATAGAGGGGATGAAGTTAAGAGCTTTTGGAGGTGCTCTGGGAAGCTGGCCAGAGAAGCTTTTCCTTTGTTCTTTTCTGGTCAGTGTTATCTCAAGGGTGGAGCCTGATTGGCGGTTACAGTCCGGGCAGGACCAGCTCCAGCCCTACGGAATTTGGCAGCCTAAGCCCTGTCTGTGCCTCCTCCCCATTCCTCTCACTGAAGGAAGCAGATGGCTGTGAAGTATAAAAAGGAGCACCTCCTGGGGCAGGAGTGTACACAGGCCAGACCCAGACCCAGTCAGTAACTTCTGTTTAATACTTATCAAAGCACTATGCTGAGCTCTTTACATCAATTAACTTACTGAATCCCCACAAGTTTGTGAGGAAACTAAAGCCCCAAGACATGAAACAATTTTCTCAAAGTCAAATTAGAATTCAAGTCTTGATGACTCAGAAGCCCTTCCCTTTCCTGCATTGTCACTTTTTCTTCCTCTCTTTCCTATCCTTTTCTTTTCACATATGATTGCCTCTGTCCAATAATGGCAAATGTTGTGAAAGGCCTACACTCGGTTTCTCTTTCCACTGGACAAAGTTAGAGAGAAAGGCCTGAGGATGCCCTGGATCCCCAAGCACCTTTGCTCTCGTGCAGCAGATCTGTCGGTTACGGTCTCTTTGACAAGAAGATTGGAGGCCTTCTCTTCTATACGTGCTCCTTTCTTACATCTGTACTCTCACCTAGCCCTCAAAACACACACACGTGGGGCTAGCCGGGTGGCTCAATTGGTTAGAGTGCGAGCTCTGAGCAACAGGGTTGCCGGTTCGATTCCCGCATGGGCCAGTGAGCTGCACTGGAGCTGAGCTGCCGATGAGCTGGTGAGAGCGCATGCTCTTAACAACAAGGTTGCTGGTTTGATTCCCACATGGGGTGGTGGGCTGCGTGCCCCCCACAACTAGATTGAAAGTGGCAACTGGACTTGGAGCTGAGCTGCGCCCTCCACAACTAAGATTGAAGGAGAACGACTTGACTTGGAGCTGATGGGTCCTGGAAAAACACAATGTTCCCTTCCCCAGTTCCCCAATAAAATCTTTAAACACACATGCACACACACGTTCCAACAGTTACTGCCTACTATATTCTAGGCTCTAGCAGAGTAGGTGTGTAAGGATGAATAAAACTTGCCTCTTGCTGTCCAGCTGCTCACAGTCTATTATAGAGACACAAATGAGTAAAGAAATAAGTACAGTTTCACAGGTATCATGGGTCACATTCAAGCCACCAAGTGTGGCAAGAAAGGTGTTGGACCTTTAGAGGCCATGGGAAGCTAGCCCAGAAAGAATCTATTTTCAAGCAGCTGATCAGCCTTTTCTGTCTGAGCCAACAGAAGACTGGAAAACTCGCCTGTCTCCTACATCTGCCCCATATCTCTAGGCAAGAAGTAGACAGAATGCCCCTGGTTCCCTGCCTCCTTTCCCTAGCTGTTATTCCTTGAAAGCTCACCCTCTTCTTACCTTTCGCCACATCACTGGGCAGCTTCCAGGGCACTCCCTGAATACGAGCATATTGAGGGGTCACAGTATTCCTCTTCCCTCCCTTTTGTTCCCCAAACATCTTGGACGACCTAAAAACATATTCATCAGTGAACCATCCAAACCCTCAGCTTCATAATTTCCTGAACTTCTGTACTCTACCAACCTTCACCTCCTTTCAACTTTAGTTCTCCACTTATATAACCATACCCTATCCTTGTCATTACCCCAAATCTCTGAAATCTTTCATGTGCCAGCTATGCTAGATACTAGGCTATGATCATAAATACACTTCCCCTGCCTTCAAGAGTCTTACAGTGAGGTGGAAGAGAATGATGTAATGAGGTAGAGGCAGAGATATGTATTAGGTAGAATGTTTTCACAAAGCAGAAAATAGACAGTTCGGAAGGGAAGGCTTCACATAGCAGAGCTGCTTGATTAGGGTATTTCGGGTAAGAATGTGCTGGGGAAGAAAGGCCTGTGGGAACAGCCTTTCTGAGATCTAGAGCTATAAAATAGTATGGCTTATAGGTACAAACGGAGCATGGTGGAAGATGAAGATGAAGACGTAGGTAAGGGTCAGGTAATGGAGGGTCTTATGGGTTTGAACTTTACAAAAATAATAATGGACACAATTTATCAAGCACTCAGTAATTCTTTAGCTCATTGAATCCTCACAACAACCCTATACAGTTGGTGGTATTATTTCCATATTACATATGAAGCATCTCCCTGTTTCCTTTGGATATCTCCATTTAACCATTTAGTCTTGTTTTTCTCGCCCTTTTCCCCCATTCCCCACCCTCTGGCCACACCACAGTATTTCATGGTCCCCTTTCATACAGCTTTATGTTTTTGCTTCTGTTGTTCTAATAGCCCAGAATACCTTCGCTTTGATACACTGCCTAAGAAAAACCCTCTATTCACCTTTTAAGGCCTAGCTCCAGTTCCTCTCCTATGTGAAGTCTCCCTGAAAGCCAGAGAGTCAGTGTGAGCATCCCTGCTGTGCGGGAAGATGCTGTCTTTCCTAGAGTCCCTTTGGAAGTTGTATTCCCAAAGCTTCTCAAGAACAGAGCTGCATAGGAGAGGAATAAATGTTTGTGAACACAGAATTAGAAATAATTGGGTTTGAAATGACATCTTTTGCTGATAGTTCTCAAACCACCTTTCCCTTTTCCTTTGTAGCCAAACGAGTGAACGAGGTGATCGTGGGGAATGACCAGCTCATGGAGATCTGAGTCCGGAGCAAGTCACACACCTTCCTCTTGGCCCCCAGAACTACAGATGTTGTCTGGCCCACCTCTTTGACTCTGTATTTATTTCCCAATAAAAAAGGGCTCCTGAAGGCATGCTTGAGACGTATGGTGTAGTGCCAGGCTCCACATCAGGGGCTCTGTGTGTGTTCATGAGTCATGTGGTAAAGACCGTCCAGAGCCAGTGTGTAGAACAAGATGGGACACAGTGGCCTAGCTCTCATGTACCGAGGTGACCAGGCAGGGGCAGCAGCTGTCCAATGGTAAAGCTCCTGGAAGGGCTACTTCCGACTAGCTGGCCTGGCCTGGTCCATAAAAGCATCCCCCACCTGAAAGGGTTCTGGAGGTACTTCACTCCCTGCCACTAGCAATCCGGCAGGTCTAGGTGCTGGCAGTGCCACCTCTGCACGTAATGCTACCTCTACAGCCTCCAGTCTGGGCCTGGCCCCTGAGCCTCAGCCCAGGACTGACTACTGTGCTCCCAGACCTGCCACACATGTTCCCAGCCCCTGCCGCCACCCACCCACCCACCCCCAGTCTCACCCTCTAACTCCCACCATTCACTCCCTATCCTCCCAGTCTCTAGACAATTTCTCCAGCCCAGCTGCTGTCCCTTGGAGACCCTTAAAGCAAGCAGAGGCAGCCCCTGCCTAGCCAGCAAGCCTATCCCTACCGGTTTTAGTGGAGGCAAGAGCAATAAAAGAACGCCGTGGTCTGAGAAGCCAGACCCCTTCCCACCTCTCCTTAGTGAGGTCTGTCCAACCTTACAAGGACCTTACATATTCTGGTTTGAAATTCGTTCTGACTCTTCTCCGGCTACACTCCTTTATATGCTAATTATACAGACTCTCCTGCTTCAGATAATTGAAAAATGAAATTTCCACACTCACAGGTCTTCTGGAGTCCTAGCCACCTTGCCTTTACCTCCCCAACTCAAACACACTCAGCCCGCTCTTGCCTCTCCCTTCTCTCTGCTTTTACAACCTGCAGCTGTTTGGTGGAAGATAAAAGTGGTTCCTGGGGTGAGATTTCACCTCCTAGAATTAAGTGAGTAAAGGTTTCTCTTGATGTGCTCTCTGTGGGTGGCAGTAATTATAAAAAATGATTTGAAATACTGGTTTCTACATGGCTTCAAAAATCTGAAGTCTCTCAAGTTCATTTGAGTAATTTTTCCTGAGCCTTAGTGTTCTCATTGAACATTGAACTTGTGAGAGACTGACTGGATAAGCATGCCTACCCTGGGGGAGCTCCACCTCCGCCAGCCTTCTGGGAGCCCTGGAGCTCCACAGTTTTCCCGCTGGTCAGGACAGGGTTCCTGAAAGTTTGCCCTAATCAGACAGGAGCTGCGATGGCCCAGCAGAAGTAGTCGAAACCAATAGAACTGCAGCAGAGGTGGGAATAAAGAGCTGTGGTGGTGCCCGAGATGGTCCCCTTTGGAACTAAAATTACATTTGTGTGGCCCAGCTGATGCTGGAGACAGTCCTGGCCTGGATGGAAGAGGACCTGCCTTCTGTAATGTTGTTTGGCCTCGGCCAAATCACTGCCTCTCCTCTGTTCCTGTTTCCCCATCTGCAAAATGGGAAAGTTGGACTGGGTAACTTTTAAAGGCTTGTCCTATTCTTGGGTTTTGTCACCTCTCGCAGAGCTTTTTGACCCTTGGGGTCTGGGTGGCCCAAGAGGCCCGAAGACTGCTCCTTGACCACAGAAAGGGGGTGGAACTGGGTAGGCTTGGAGGGAGAGGGAGGTGGGGGCGGAGAAGGGGTTGATTACACTGTCCGTTCTTACACCTCTTCCTGTTCTTCCCCGCTAAGCCCTGGGAGTCCCTGACTGTATATAGAGGAAAAACCTCTCCTCTGCCTTCCCTTGCACAAGCCCATGAGCAGCCCCAGTCCAAGGAAACAGACAAGAGCTGGCGAAGACAAGGCAAGGGTTCTCCAGGGGAAGGCCTTGCTGAGCTTGAGTCCCAGCTGGGAGCAGCCCCCAGCTCAGGACACTGCTGCTATTGTCTCCAACAACTCTGGGACTGGCTGGGTGCCCAAGATGCTTTGATTTATCTTCTCTTTGCTCTATTTGTCTGCCAGAGAGCAGGGACAGTTTTTGTTTCCTTTTGGCAGCAGCTACAGAGGGTTTGAGTATGCCTGGAATACAGTGTGCAACTGAATGTCCACTGGCCAGCCACCTCTCTGTGGGACAGAGGCCAGAAGAGCCAGGCAGGCAAGAGTTGATAGGCTCTGCCCTACCTCTCCCAGTGATACTCCATGAGGCAAGTGGGAGAGAGGAAAGGGACCTTCGATACCAAATCCGGGAGGACTTAGGAGGTGTTGAGGAATAGGGCTCTGGGAGTTTGTCAGATCAGATAAAACTTTGATGGCTACTGGGCTGGCCAAGTGGCTCAGTTGGTTAAGAGTGCGAGCTCTGAACAACAGGGTCTCCGGTTCAATTCCCACATTGGCAAATAAGCTCAGCTGATGAGAAGACGTGCTCCTAACAACAAGGTTACTGGTTCGACTCCCACATGGGATGGTGGGCTACGCCCACCCGCAACTAAGACTGAACTCCGCACCTTGAGCTGAGCTGCCCTGAGCTGCCGACAGGCAGCCGGATGGCGACAGGACTTGGAGCTGAGCTAGCTGTGCCCTCCACAACTAAGATTGAAGGACAACAACTTGGCTGCTCCCCGTCCCCAACTCCCCAACACTGTTCCCTTTCCCCAATTCCCAAAAAAATCTTTAAAAAAAAAAAAAATGATGGTTACTACTCCAGGAACCCATCCCCCACTAATGCTTCACCCCTCCTGCTGGCAAGAGCTCCCTGAGCCTATAAGGAGACTGCTAAAGTTGCCCTCCAAGCTTTCCCCACCCACCCAGGCCAGAGGCTAAACTTCTTCCCACTCCTTCACATTACTCTTCCTATCCCATTCCCATCTGCAATGGAGAGGAGGAGGGAATTGTATTTAGCTGGAGCCTCAAGAGTAATCAAGGGGCCTGTACAGCCTAGTTTAGAAACTTTCTATTTCCAGAGAGTGTCAGAGAGTATACTTTCTTCATCCACAGCCATCCCTACCCCTAAGGAGGGATATAAGCCAGGCCTTTGTGTGCTGCTTTCTAAATAGTTAAATGTGTCTGAGGAAGGGGAAGAGGGCTGTGGGAAGGACCACCCAGACGGAAGGTCTAGAAAGCTCAGCTCTAGTGGAGCTTGACAGGGAGGGAGAGAGGCTGGGTAGGAGAACACATTCTACTGGAGGCCAGGATGACCTGTCCTCGACCTGAGCTGTCTGCCACTACCCAGAAGGATTGCATCATGGGCTTTTCTGCCATGGAGAAATGGGGAGATTCTGCTTTGATTCTTAGCCTGTCTCCTTCCCCCACCCTCAAGGTGAAAGGCATTCTCTGATCTCTGGTTGCAGCCTCTTCCACTAGAGGCTTGCCAGGTACTATTGGCCTAAAGCTGTCTACAGGGAAGGGCATACATTCTCAGGCTTGGCCCCTAAACATGATGTTTCGTTGGCAGTGGGGACTGCCAGGTCCCCTGCTTCCCTCCTCCATATCTCAGGGTCATGGACTCTGCCTGGCCCAGATAATAAGCCAGCCCAAAGTGTGGTGAGTGAGAAGTTTGAGGGAGTGCCAGGGAAAGAAGGGCTGCCCTGGCTTCTCCCACATGGACCCTACCCTGAAGCCAGGTTGGTCACTTTACCCAACAGTTGTGTGTGTGTGTGTGTGTGAGAGAGAGAGAGAGACCTTACTTTTCCTGGCACTTCCTCAGCCATATATAGTATCTCATTTAATCCTTATGTCGATGTCAAAATTATGTGACTTGCCCAAGATCTCACAGTCAGTATATGACTCAGACTTTGAACTATATCTTCTTTTAGATGCTGTCATCTTCCCACCTCTCCCATCCAATTCCTCTCACTCTGGAAGTTTTCCCTGAGTATTCCAGCTCGCAGTGGTTTCCCCTGTGGTCTCTGCGTTCCCTCTTAGGCTATGAACTTCCAAAAAGCAGGTACTCTGCAACCCCAGAGTTTAGCAAAGGGGTGGACACAAAAGAAAACCTAAAAGATGTTTGTCTTATTAATCAGTAATTAGATTTACTGATAATGAATTTAGATTGCTTTTCTCTTTTTTTTTTAAGATTTTTATTGGGGAATTGAGGGGATGGGAACAGTGCTGGAGAATTGGGGAAGGGGAACAGACAAGTTGCTGTCCTCCCGTTCCTCAGTCTAGCTGTGGAGGACGCCGCCCCACTGGCCCAAGTTGGCACCATCACCGCACTCCTCCCGGGCGAGGCAGATCAGTCGCCGGCTTCTGGACAGCTGCTCACTGCGGCTGCTGGCCGCTCACACTGGCCGCCAGCCACACACGGCAGCCCATGGCAAACCACTGCCACAGGGGCTGCAGCCTACATCATCGCTGGCGACCCACAGCAGCCCAGCCCCAGGCCGAGCCGTTGTTCAGCATCCCAGCTGCAGAGGGCAGTGTCACTGGCCCCCACATGCGGGATCCGAACCGGGGCCCTCCGGCGTCCCAAGCCAGCTCTCAACCATCGCGCCACTCGGCTGGCCCGCTTTTCTCTTTTGTTCTTCTTTAGAGAACTTACCTGGTTCAGGCCCAAAACACATAACCAGGTCCAGTGGAAATGACAGTGAACCAGGTTATTCCACAGTGAAGCAGACTGCTCGTAGAGAAAAAAGAGGAGCGTCTACTTCCCTTCCTGTTCCCTGGGTTCTGTGGCTTCTAGTTCACCCTGGCTGAGCTCAGCTGCACTCAGGAAATCACTTCGTTGGGGAGAAGAAAGGTCATTTCAGAACTTGGAGCAGCCAGAGGGTTCTAGGCCCTGGGTTGGAATGTTGGAACTGCAGACCAATTTCTCCCACTCTGGTCTTTGAACTACAAGGCAAGAGGTTTTCTTAGCAGGCAGGCCCTACCCTGGAAGCCACAGTTGTTAGCAATGGCGGGCCTGCGTTAGAAGCAGAATCCCAAGGCCCAGGCAATTACACATCTATTTCTCCATGGACCTTATGTCTTGCAGAGTCTGGTAAGAAGGAATGAGGTCTCTCGAGCTTATTACAGCAAAGACTCTCCACTTGCTATCCTGATGACGCCC